TCATTCTGTTAGCTAATAATAACCTCCCTTGTTTATGCTATCATCTCAAGGAGTGACATTTCTTCTATACTGTAGTTTATAGATAACTGGTGCCTTTTGAGCTTATATCTTCATAACCTTAAAATTCTTATTTTCAAATATTTTCTTTGAAAGTAAGTCTCTCTGAGATTCAAGTAGTTGTAACTCTACTGTAAAGTACAGCAAGCAAGGACCTTGCAAGGCCGCCTGTCTCCAGTCTCATTCCCACCCCCACTCCCCGGATATATACTTCTCGCACACTAGTACCAGAGGGATCTTTCTAAAACACAGCTGATCCTGTCTTTTTCTTGCTTAAAATCTTACAGGACTGTGGCTGGCTCCATGGCTTAGTGGTTAAGTGCACGCACTCCACTACTGGTGGCCCGGGTTCGGATCCTGGGCGCACACCGACACACCGCTTCTCCGGCCATGCTGAGGCCACGTCCCACATACAGCAACTAGAAGGATGTGCAACTATGACATACAACTATCTACTGGGGCTTTGGGGGGAAAAAAAAATCTTACAGGATTAAGTCGAGGTTTTTAGCACAGTGAAGATCTGGCACCTCCCTGGCCAATCCTCTGGCTCTCTTCCCTCTTCAGCATTGCCCCCACCTTCCTGTCCCCGTGTTGCAGGTTCTGCTGTTACCAACATGTTTATAACTCTCTGCCGCCATTGAGTTTCCTGTTTTTCCTCTGTATCTCTGCAGAAGCCTCCGATCTCCTCCTCTGGGAAACCCTTCCTGACGTCCACCACCTCCATAAATTAATCTGATCACAGCCTATTATTTCAGTGCCTCATTCTACTTTTACTACACTTTTCACATTGTATGGTGATTTATTTGTTGACACACCTATCTCCAAAAACACCCTTTCTTTCTCTGTGGAATTTGAGACAGGCTTTAAGTAGCCGCCACCAAATATCTTGCTTTTATAATGTATTTGGTCTGTCTAAAAGCAAAATAAATTGAATAGAATTGCTTTAAAAAGAATAGAGAAATTCTAAGCCTGGGTGGTAGTTACCTGAGTGCTCTTTTTTAGTAGTTCTTTAAACTGTACATGTTTTACACATTCTTCTGTATATATATTTCACAATAAAAAAAGTAAGAAATAAAAAAGAATTAGACCAAACAGCTAGTATCCTATCTTGTAATTTAATCATCACAAGATATCTATTTAAAACCATAACTAGGGCCGGCCCTGTGGCTTGGTGGTTAAGTGCGCGCGCTGCGATGCTGGTGGCCCGGGTTCGGATCCCGGGTGCGCATCGAGGCACCACTTCTCCGTTCATCCTGAGGCCGAGTCCCGCATACAGCAACTAGAAGGATGTGCAGCTACAACATACAACTATCCACTGGGGCTTTGGGGGGAAAAATAAAATAAATAAAATCTTTAAAAAAAAAAAAATAAAAAAATAAAACCATAACTAGTTTTTTAAAGTATAACTGATCTTCCTCACACAAAAATAAAATAAAATAAAAAAGTATAACTGGATTCTTAAGTATAATGTCACTTCAAAATGACAAACATCCCTAAAACAAAACTCTGACAAAATAATTAGGATAAAATCTATTTATGCTCACACAATATTCTAGAACATTAAATCATTCCTCTTTTTTCCTATCTTTCCAAAGTTATAAATTTTCAGGTTTGGAGAGTATTTTTACTTGCCTATTTAGCAAACAAAAAAATAGGTGATAATGATATCAAGATACATTATAAACATGTAGGCTTATTTTTATCACATAAAATATTCAGTAAAATTGAGCCTCTCTAACACCTCATTATATTCTGGAGCTGGAATATTTCATATTCCAGCGATTACTAAGTTTCACAAATTAATGAGTCAATTAGACATCTAAAATATATACCGGATCCCTATCCCCTGCCATAATACTACAATATGCTATTTTATCCTATAAGTGTGAATTATTCTTATGATTAAAATTCACCCATATCAGTTCAGTTCAGTTCAACAAACATTTATACCCAAGACAAGTGGCTAGAAATGATTAGGGCTAGAAAGATCAGCAAGATAATCAGCTATCAAAAAACACAACAGTCAGAGAAAACTAACTACGTGCCACATGAGAGCTACAAGCCAAACACCATGAGAACTGCCTGTTTCCAACAGTTTGGCCCACAAGACAAACTGAACTACACTCCTTATTGCAACATCTAAAAGGCAAGATAAAACATAAAAACCTATTTTTAAGAGCATCAATGAGCTGACACAATAGTAAGTAGGCTACAGGAGCCAAAAACAGAGAGACAGCAGAAGCTCTGGGCAATGAGGAAATACCAAAGCTGGCTTGTGCCCTGATGGCTTGTATCTACCTGGGATGTAGGCACATACAACGAGAATAAATCAGTTTGCCTTTATAGCATAAAGTCAAACCACATCTTCAAAATTCTGTTGGACAAATAAGTTCTGAATGCTTATGAGAGTGTGTGCATGTAACCTGGAGGTTCCCAAACCTGGCAGGGCAACAGTCATATGGGGAGTTTTCCAGGCCCACACCAGGCTTACTGAAACAAAAGTTCTGCCAGTGGGGTCCGGGCCTTTCTTAGACAATCCGACTTGTTGACCCGCAATTTTCGGAGAGCAGCACTTCCCCAGCCTCTTGCATCAGCAGCTGCTAATGGGCATGAATCACACCAACTCAGCATACTGCCCTTCTCTTCCAACCCACATGCCCTCCTCCCTTAGCTTGATCTGTTCCTAGTTGCTGTAGCCCATGAGGCAGAAAGTTCAGCATACCATTATTCTATATCCAGGGTATACACAAAAACTTTTTTGGAGAAAGATGTTTAACATCTTGTTAACTTTAAAAAAGCATGTAAAAGTGCTTTGTAGACAATAAAATGCTTTACAAAGGTAATCTATTATTAGGCTTAAAAGGCAAGTATGTATGTCATAAAATATAGTAACATCTTTGATGTAATGCTTCCAGCACAGAGTTATACCTCTAGACTAGCTCTCCACCTCCCTCTAATTATAAGCTTACATAAACGCTACAAACACATTTTAAATTTTGGTTTCAGGTTTCAGTTTTGTTGATCTTGAAATATAAACGTTATCTCCGATCTCCGTGCTACCAAGAAACAACTTCATCAGGGAAAAGATCACAGATCCATCATATCGAAACATCAAAACTCACTTTATTACACCATTGAAATCCCTTCTTTCTGAGTCCCTTCCTCATATCATATATACACACATCTCACCTCAATACACAGCCTACCCAATACATTTATTTCACCTTCCTTGAAATTCAGGTCCTGGGAAATCCAAGAACTCAAAAGGATCTTCAAAATTCTGTTGGGCAAGTAAGTTCTGAAAGCTTATGACAATACGTGCATGTAACCTGGAGGTTCCCAAATGGCAGGGCAACACAGTCATATGGGGAATTTCTCAGGCCCACCCCAGACTTACTGAATCAAAAGTTCCGCCAGTGGGGTCTGGGCCTTTATTTCTTAAGACTTTCTGAAGCAGATATGCCTGGCAGAACCCCACAGAGGCTCTAGATTTGGAGTGGACAAGTATGTTAGAGGGCAGGACTAACAAGAGGATTTGTGGAGTGATCTTTAGAAATTGGAGCGTAAGGAAGGAGAATCCATAATCTTGACATTAGGAATAGTTCTCCCTGACTGGCACAAGGATTATGACACTGGAGTCAAAGAGAAGAAAATATAATCAGTATACCACTTGGCTCTGCAGTGGATGATATCTGCAAAATCTAAAATAATAAACACTATTAAATGGTTTTCAACTTTATAACCAACCTATAGACAAAGTATAAAAGGCTTAATTAGTTAGATAACAGTACACAAATATTATCAACCTTGACAACATAAAAGTACAGCTGAAAAAGCTAGAAGGTATGAGGGCAGGCAAGATGGAAAAGGCAGGGGGTGCTAATACCCTCATCTTACAAGGATGGGGGTCCAGAGATATGGTTTAAAGTAGATAGGACAAAGAAACAGAGATTTAAGTATATCACTTAAAGTCACAATGGTAGCCAATAAAAGAACTAAAACATCAATTCAACAATATTAAGTTGGGAAGTAGAGAGGCAAAGTAACTTGGTCAAATTTAGCTAGTTAGAAAGTTCTAAAGCCAGTGTCTGAATATGGGCCCTTCACGCTCCAGACCTTGTGTTCTTTACCAGTATCTGGCCGTGCCAAGCATGGTGTTAGGAAATAATATGCCCAAGGTTACATACCTAGTTAGTAGCGGAGCCAGAAAAAGAAACTAATTCTCCAACCTTTAAAATTATTTGGAAAAGTTATTACTAAAATTTCTAGAAAAGACCATGTTGACATTTTCTCTCATTCTTCATTCTTCTCTCATTTACTCATTCTCATTCTGATCCATTCATTTCTGCTTATTCGTTTAACATGCACCAACGTTTCTTAAAAAGAACCCCTCCACTTAGACACACTTCCTCACCTATAATCAGTGTTAGGCCTGTTCTCCATCTCTACACCTATGCTCTACACCTATGATAAAGGAAGTTCTCTCTCCTGGAGGCAGTTGTGAAGAAGACTTCAACCCACCAGCCATTTTGTCTTTCAAAACCTGACAGAAAGTTCAGGACAACAACACTGAAGATACATAGCAAGTCTGCTTGTTCATCTCTTAGTCTAGAGACTGAAACCATCTGCTTCCGGGGGACAGGCCACTGTCACGTGCACACAGGTACGCGGCTGCTGCTGCAGGTCATGTCATGGGCAGCAACATGTGAAGGGCATGGAGGGCACTGCTCTGCTTGAGACTACCCCGTGCGTGGGCCAGAGTGTGGATTGGTAAAACCACTCAGTACCCGCCCCTTTATAACTTGAGAAGAAGTTTTGAAATATTCAACAGAAATGACAATTTCTACCCAAACAGTAATTCTTTAAAAATAAATTATAACCCAAACTCATCAGTACCTATAAAAAGCAATTTAAAAATTTCAATTTAAATCACTATTACTTACCCCATTTTCAGTGCGTTTTTCTCCAGGTATGTTTATTACATTTCTCTGAGTTCTTTGCTCTTGGGTCTGACGGCCACCTAAAGAAATGAGAGGACAAAACTTACTATAAGACATACTAGAAAAACGATATTCTCCCATTTCTTCACTTACTCAAATATTTATTTGAACACAGCTTAAAATACCAGGCTGAACAACTCAAGATTTAGTACAGTTGAAAAAATGTTTTACAATTTATCTTTATACATAAAGTTGTTAAAATGAAATTTTTTCTTCTAACATTCTGTTCGGAGTCTTGAAATTGACTTGTATCAAAAGATTTCTAACACTTAAAAATGGTCAAGATGGTAAATTTTATGTTATAGGTATCTTATCACAATTAATTTATATTAAAAAAAATTTAAAGGCTTTTTATATTTTAGAAGAGACTAAAATAGAACTTAATATCCAGTAATTAAAAATAGTGATGTATAGGGGCTGGCCCCGTGGTTGTAGTGGTTAAGTCCATGTACTCTGCTTAGGTGGCGGCCGGGCTTCGCAGGTTTGGATCCCAGGCGGGGATCTACGCACCGCTCATCAAGCCATGCTGTGGAGGCAGCCCACATACAAAATAGAGGATGGGCAGAGATGTTAGCTCGGGGCCACTCTTCCTCAGCAAAAAGAGGAAGATTGGCAATAGATGTTAGCTCATGGCCAAGCTTCCTCAACAAAAAAAAAAAAACAAAAAAACAAAACTGATGTACAAAACTCATCTTCACTAATAGGGTTAAAACCAAGATGGGACACCATCTCATTTTGGGTAGTCTTATGAATTCTCCTTTGTTCCATAAAAATTAAAATGTTAAAAAAAAAAGGCTTCAAATTTAAACTGGAATAATTCTCTATATGTCCTGTAGTATTCTTTAAACAAAATCAAGTGTGATGCACAATTCTTTAACAGGTGACTCTGAAGCCATATAAATTCATGTCTGATGTGTTGAATGGCTGCTCCTACTTCACTCATCTCTCCAGCTTTTACTTCATGCTATTTTGAGAATTATCACACCCCAGAGCCCACTTTATCACCTAGAATACATGACTTCAAAGGGTCATGAACCTAATGTCAAAAAAAAAAGACAGAAAAATATTTTGTCTTCTATTTCCTTCCTATTACTTTGAAAAATGTGAAGAAAAATTATATTATGGAAATATGGTTTCACCTTAAACCATGTATTCTCAAAGACAGTGATATTGCCCCTAAGGGGACAAAGACTGGTTCTTAGAGGATAAAAATATCTTACTCTTTTTATGTAAAAGCAAAGATATATAGTACATAAACAGATATATGTGTATCTGATAGGGGACAGGAGGGGGACAAGCAAAAACAGAACATCCAAAAAAGGGTCCTTGGGGGTGATAACGACAAGAGTTTAAACGAATGTGAGTGACGTGGCCTGCAACTGAACACAGTCATGAAATATACAACAGCCATTTCATAAAATCTAGAGTAGTTTCCTATTAGCAGGAATTACACACATACATACCCCCTAGACTATGGCATCTATCAATTTACAGGGTAAATTAAATTCTTAGTTATTCCTGGTATTTTTAAAGTATAAGCTATTCAGGTAAATTTAATATTCTATAATTGCTGCCTCTTCCAAACAACAAACTATCAAGAAATTAGAATACTATAAAACACACAACATTAAAATTATACCAAGTGCCACTTAATCTTTGTTGGTAAAGACGAAACTTAATGATCTTGCATTTTGGACTCAGAAAATAATGAATAATAAGAGCTGACATTTAGTGAGTACTTACTGTGCACCAAGCTCCTCTGAGCACTTCACCACTACACCTCATTAACCCCCACGACAACCCTACACACCCTGCAGACGAGGAAACCGAGGCACAGAGATGTGAAGTCACTTGCCCAAGGTCCATGCTAAGTAAGCAGCAGGGCTGGGGCTGAACCCAGGCAGCCTCGCTCCAAACTCCACCACACCAGCTCCCGGGTTCTAGTTTATGCTCTGCATGACCTGCATCGAGTTATGTTACACTCTAAGCTAGTTTCCCCAGGTGTAAAAGGTGATTGAAGTAAATGTCTTCTACGCTCTCCTCTAGCTTCCAAACAGAATTCTCACTCTTCCAGGGATGTCTTTTACTTCTTCTTGTTATATTCTGTAGTTCTACATATGATAAACACTCCAATGTAGTCCCTTTTAAATAATATCAATTGGTGACAACTGCCTTGTCTCAGCTCTGTGGGAAGCACAGAGGAAACATGAGTCTTCAATCCTCGACTCTAGTGGCTTAGAACACAAGCTGGAGGAGAAGTTCAGTGAACAAAAACAGAACAGGAACACTGAGCCCACGTGAGTCATTCTATGGCATTCGAGTTGGGGGAGATGGAATCCTGGGTTAGGACACAGAGAGAATAGACATGCAAGAAAGAGTGTGGCTGAGAGAGAGAAAGAAGGAACGAAGAGGTCGAAGAGATGGGTAGGGTCCTACTACAAATGCCATCGGAGTTAAACTGAGGAGTGTTAAATAGGGAAGCAGGGACTTTGCTGAGAGTTCTAGAAAAGTGATGCAAGTTGTGTGATGAATTTGGTTCTTCCAATCCTGACCAATCCTCCGTACCAGCCCGGGTTGAGAAAGGTGTATCCCCTGTCACCACACCCCACCTCAGAGCTTCCTTCATCCTGATCCCATCTAGAATGCAGCAGCTCTGCATTCTGCCCCTCCAAACCCTACTCCTTCTCGGAGGTCCACTTCAAGCCCCATCTCCCCCAGTACTCCTTGTTTAACCACTCTGCTCTGCACTGATGGCTGTCTCCTTAACACCACACGGCAAAACATTCCGCCCTCCCCATTCATCTTGTGTGTACTTGCCGTGTCACCACAACAACTAGACTAAGCTGCACCATGGTACAACAAAGGTCAACTGGAAGGTCAGCATTGTCACCTTCCTTGTGACTCTGGACAGTTCTCTTAGGTATCCCTAACACTTCTAAATTTATAAAGTGAGAATAAAATAAGACTTCCCCCCCCCCACCACCCTGCAACATTAAGAGTTATGTACATATATCAGTAAAAGTAAAATATAAAACTTCTTAAGTATATCTAGGAAAGGGAGGGTATAAATATTTGGAGAACTCAGGAAGAGAGTTAAAATAAATTTTTAGCACTAGAACAGCACCTTGTCTGTCAGCCAGTCTAATCCTCCTTCTCGGAGGATTCTGTCCAGGAGGCAGGGCCCTTGTCTAAGGTAAAGTGGATGAAGACCTGGACCTGGAGCTTTGGTTTCTCAACTCCAGATGACCAGGAGCCAGTGGAATAAAATCTAGAAGTAATGGTGCACTGTAAAAAACAGCACTATAACGGTATTTACGGCTATGGAAAGATGATTTTAAAGTAGACAGGTAGCTCATCCTAGAGGCAAAATATCCTTTAATATAAAATACAAATAAAGCGGGATAACTTGCAATGAAGGAATCTTCTTTTTACAAAAGGATGTCCTTTCATTATTTTTTTTTAAATACTACAAGTAATCCACGATCACTGTTAAATAACAAGTTAAGGGTCTCTTAACTGTAGAGTATATATGCTTGCAGAAAAAAAGATTCTCTTATTTTGTTTAAATTTTAATTCAAAATTCAAAATTTAATTCAAATTCAAAATATTCCCATGGTTAAAAATTCAAAAGGAACAGATACAAAATTAATGATTTTCCCTCCCTCTCCTCTCCCACAGCCTTCCCCCCGGGCTAGCAATGTTATCAGTTTCTTAGGTATCCTTCCAAAGATACTTGGTACATGCACAAGCCAATATAGACATAATTACTCTTTCGTCTGTTACACAGAGGTAGCAGAGTGCACACTGCTTTGCATTGTACTTATTTACTTAGCGTGTCCAGAAGATGGTGTAGGTCAGGGCACAGAGCTTTGTTATTTATGGCTGCAGAGCAGTCCACTGTACAGAGGTAACCATGATTTCTTTAGCCCGATGTCCCTGGTAGGCAGGCATTTAGGCTGTTCCTACCAGCAATGCTCTGTGAGTAACACTATGTATACGTCATTTTGTATGTGTGCAGGGACAGCTTTAGGATAAGCTCTGAGTGAGATTACTGAGTGAAAGGTTTTGTGCTTTTGTAAGCTATAATAGATATTGCCAAATTGCCCTCTATACAAGCTGCCAGCTGACACTCCCACGGCAATGTGGAAGAACGCCTGTTTCTCAACACCATTGCCAACAGTGTGTTATTAAATGTTCTAATCTTTGCCAATGTGACAGGTAAAATATGCATCTCAGTGTTTTCCCTGCATTTCTTTGATCAGGAGTAAGGCAGAACTTCTTTTCATATATCCTAGGGCCATGTATGTTTCTTTTTCTGTGAACTCTTTGTATATTTTGCCCATTTTTTTACTGTTTCTTTTTCTTCCTTATCGATTTTTAGGAACTCATATATGTAAAGGAAATTAGCCCTTTGCAATATGAGCTATTCCCAGTTTATAATCTGTCTTTTGACTTTGCTTAGGGTGGTTATTGCCATGCAGTTTTTTTTGTTTTTTTCCAACAAACCAGTCTTGTCTTTTATGGCTTAGTGTTACACTTAGAAAGGTCTTGTTCACACTAAGAAATTTAAAAAAAAAAAAACATATTTCCCAGAATTTTTAATCCTTTCATAGTTTTGTTTATTCTTAAAATCTAGATATTTGATCCATCTGGTATTTATCAAAAACACAATTCCTTTACATTTTTTATTTATTTATTTATTTATTTATTTCCCCCAAAGCCCCAGTAGATAGTTGTATGTCATAGCTGCACATCCTTCTAGTTGCTGTACGTGGGACGCGGCCTCAGCATGGCCAGAGAAGTGGTGCGTCGGTGCGCGCCCAGGATCCGAACCCGGGCCGCCAGCATCAGAGCGCACGCACTCAACCGCTAAGCCACGGGGCCGGCCCTACAATTCCTTTAAATAGCAGGTCCCCCTACACATTTGAGTGCATTATCTGACTGACTTAGGGTCCTGAGAAGGAAGCAAGTGGTGGGTGCCTAAAGAGTGTGAAACAACTGTAAACTGCAACAACAGAGGCCAAAGAAATGTGAGAGACCAGCTCTCCCTCTCACTACTTGTGAGTTAAGGAAAAAAATCACGTGAATAATTATTTTAATATTTATTCCTATTTTTCTTAAATTAGCTTTTATGGCAAAAATTAACAAATGAGAAAAAAAAGCACTTATCTACCTTGTTCACTGCTCTCAGGTGGGGAATCTTCATGTCGAAGGAAAAATTTCACTTCTTCCCTTCGAGACCCCCACTTCTGAAGATGTTCATACATCATATGATCAAAGGGTATGGGACGCTCTAGGGAAAAAAAAAACACACATCTTACTTATTCCAGAAACAAACAAAATGACTCCTACCAAAACTAAAAAAAATAAAAATAAATTTAAATAAATGTACACATACATAGTAGAATTCAAGGATATTATAAGTACTGATTTTAACTTTAATGAAAGAAAAGCAGGAATATGAATGGGAAATAATCTAGGTAACATAAAGACAAGAAGCATACATAAAAGCAATTTTGGGGGCCGGACCGGTGGCGCAAGTGGTTAAGTGTGAGCGCTCCGCTTCGGCGGCCCAGGGTTCGCAGGTTCGGATCCCAGGTGCGCACCGACGCACCTCTTGTCAAGCCATGCCGTGGCGCGTCCCGTATCAAGTAGAGGAAGATGGGCACAGATATTAGCTCAGGGCTGATCTTCCTCACAAAAAAAAGCAATTTTGGAACATTAAATAGGGAATATTGAAAAAATGCCCTTTACAATATTTATTTATCATGAACCAGTGTGCCTCTCACTCTTTATACAAACACATTAACAAACTGGCTGAGTCTTATCATTCATCAAAACATTACACGTGGCAGTCACATGTACAAAGGATGGACAGGGCACTTCCTGGCAATTCAGGTAACATTATTGTGAATGTCGGTCAGCACTTGCAGAAAGCAAAAACTACCAATAATAAAAATTAAATTCTATAAAATTAAATGTATTAATGTACTTCAAATATTCTTTAAAAAGCTCACTAACAAAATATCTCTTTACCACTTACTTGAGAAGAGCACTAAGACAGTTGTTAAATTTAAAAGTTACCACTTTCATATGTTTATAATATACTCCATTTTCCTTTGAATTGCCTCATGTATTATGAACCTTAAAAAAAAACAATCTGGGTTGTTTGCCTTTTTCTTAAGTATTTGAAGGAAGTGTTTATATTTTGGATACTAATCTGGGGTTGGTTACATAGATTGAAAATAGGATTGTCTTTTAATTTTGTTGGTACCTTTGGTTGCACAGTAATTTAAAAAATTTAAATGTAAGCAGTTACCAATCTTTTCCAATTTTGAATTTTTTGTACAATAAATTCTTCACTGCTCCAAGGTCAAAAGGATATTCTCATTTTTTTCTACAAATTTTAAAGCATTACTTTCATCGTCTCTATGGAATTGATCTGATTTTATTTTTTCTGACTTGAATAATCAATCCTCCCAGCATTGTCTACTGAATAGTCTATCCTTTCCCCCACACATGTAACTGCCACCTCTGACACGTATCAGGATTTCGTATGCACGTGAGATTTTTCTGAGCTGTCTCTGCTATTCTATCGGCTTTCGATCTACCTCTATGCCAACACCACAGTCCTAATTACCATCGTTTTTACAGAGTACTGCTATCTGGTAGGTAAAGTCCCCTCACACGGCATATCTTCAAAATTGTCTTGGCATTTCTCAGCCCTTCACCTTCATATATACTTCAGGAGCAGCTTGTCAAGTTCTTTTTTTAAAGGTAGGCTTTTGACTGCAATCATACTAATTTATTTATAAATAAATTTAGGGAGATATGACATCTTTGTGAACTGAGTCTTCTAGTCCATGAGCATGGTGATCTCTCTCCATTTCTTTCAGGTACCTTGTGTTCATCAATGGTTTCTTTTTAAGTCTTACCATAGAGATCCTGCACATCATAATCTATTCCTCTGCACCTTTAAATTTTTTGTTTACATGTGCATATATATATTTTTTAAATAATTGTTTTATTTTGGAATGATTTTACACTTAGAGAAAAATTGCCAAGATAGTATAGAGAGTTCCCATATAGTCTTCACCCAGTTTCCCCTAACGCTGATATCTTACATAACTATGGTGTATTTGTCAAAACTAAGAAATTTACACTGGTGCATTACTATTAATTAAACTCCAGGCTCTAATTAGGTTTTGCCAGTTTTTCCACTAATGTCCTCTCTGTCTCAGGAATTGATCCGGAAGACTACATTGCATTTACTTGTCATAAACCCAGGGTCTCCACTGGTCTGTAATAGCTCAATCCTTCCTTGTCTTTTTGTGACCTTGACAGTTTCGAGGAGTTCTGGTCAGATATTTTCTAGAATGTCCTAATCTGGGCTTGTCTGATGCTTTTCCCACGGTTAGATTGAGGTTATGGATTTTGGGGAGAACCCCAGGAAGGGGGGGCATCTTTCTCATCTCTCATACCAGGGTACTCATGCCATCACCATGACATATTACTGGTGACGTTGAGTAAGGTCACTTAGCTGAGGTGGTGTCTGAGAACCAGGGAGAAGGGGACCTGGCAAGCACGCAGCTGGTAACTGGTGAGCGCTGCACAGCATGGAGGGGAGGACCACGGGCTGACGACATTAGCCTCTTCCTTCAGAAACATCTCCCCCAACATTTCCCTACGTGCTGCCAACCAACTTATAAGACCTATTACAACCTCAATCCCTGTAATAGGAAATTGGAGGGAATTTTTCATTCTAAAGAGAAGTTTTACACCTCAGGAGCTGTCCCCCTGGCTCTTTGCATTGCTAATATTAACAAATGTGGATTGTGTAGGTGAAAAGTGAGTTGTATTGTGAAATTATGGTATTTTTTGGTAATTCTTGCTTAGTTTATTTATTTATTTTTGTTGTTTATTGTGGTAACATTGGTTTACAACATTGCATAAATTTCTGGTGTACATCATTATACTTCTATTTCTGCACAGATTACATCATGTTCTCATGTTCACCACCCAAATACAATTACAATCCATCACCACATACATATGCCTAATTATCCCTTTTGCCCTTCTCCCTCCCCGCTTCCCCTCTGGTAACCACCAATCCAATCTCTGTCTCTATGTGTTTGCTTGTTGTTGTTATTATCTACTACTTAATGAGTGAGATCATATAGTATTTGACCTTCTTCCTCTGACTTATTTCACTTTGCATAATACCCTCAATGTCCATCCATGTTGTCACAAATGGCTGGATTTCATCGTTTCTTATGGCTGAGTAGTATT